ACTATGGTCTCCCTCCATAGGTTGTAGTTACCATGAAGATTCCTTGGCTACAAACCCCTAAAAGGCTTTTACCTTCACTGCACCCCTTCTTTTATATCTGGTAGCAAATCCAAGGAAGAAATCATTCAGTCATTCATCTAACATATATCTAACACTGACAGCACCAGACATTGGAGATAAAATGAAAACAAAACCAGTTGTAGTGTTCATAAAGCATGCAGTCAATAGAGAATATGGCTATTTACACAAGTCATATTTGATGGTGTGGTAGAGAAAAAGTCAGAGTCCTCACTGTGGACCAGTAGAGAATGGTAGGAGTGAGAGTGGAGAGGATGGAAGGGGTAAGAAAGTCACCAAGGACCATGTGAGCCAGATTAAGAACTCCATGAAGGTAAATGTGACTAGTCCCTATGGAACTGGGTAGGTAGGAATCCTTCTAGTCTCTAGGTGAACCACTGAGTAGCTGATTCTGTGTTCTTGGCCCCATGGCTGAAACTCCTAATTCCCAATAAACTCCTTTCAAAGCTTTTTCTCCTTAAGGCAAAAGTTCTCAAAAGGTGGCCCCTGGACCAGAATCTGGAAACTTGTTTAAATGCAAATTACTGGACTTTTTCCCAGATCTACCGAGTTAGAAATAGTGGGAGTGGGCCCAGCAATCTGTTTCAACAACCTCCACTCCCATCTTTCGGAATTCTGATACATGGTTTTAAAAATCACTGAGGTAACCCAAGTGGAGTTCTATACCTTGCAGTTAATCTATTAATAATACAAGGTGGAACATTTCTATATAAGATTTTACAAGGCAATAGTTACTCCAGTGCCTAATGGTTCAGTCCAAGAGTCAAACTATGTTTCTTGGGACAAATCTTATTATTCCCCTATGTTTGTAAATAGAGGTTTATCGAAAGACAACCATACCTCATTCCCATAAGGATTGTTTGTGGCTGTTGATTGGGTAGTTGAGTCAAAGACCATATAGCCCATAATGTGGAAAATATTTACAACCTGTCCCTTTACAGAAAAATTTGTCCACACCCACTATAGATGACCATGCTATAGGGACATTGCAAGAAGAGGGGTGGTATCAGGGAATACCAGAGTACAGATGACAAAGTGAAATACAAATTTAGGTGATAATAGAATATGGCATCTTCAAGTATACTGTAAGGCACTTTTCTAGGTGAGTGAGAGATGTTGGACCATATTAAACCAATGCTTAGACTTTGAAAAAGACCCCACTAACCATAAGGCCTAGGGATTATAAATTGAAGGGGCTTACTAAAGTAAAAATTTCACTTTCATTTGCATTCTGATTCAGAAGTGTGGCTCTGAGGGGAGCCCCAAAATCTGTAGGTTTATGCAGTGCCCCCAGAGGGAACCAGTGAAGGTGTTTTCTGAAGAGCCTTGGAAGGGCATTTGGCTGGAGGCCAGTCAAGGGAATTGAAGCAAAAAGCACTAAGAAGATGCACAGCCTGGCCTAGAAAGAGTGTACTGCTTCCAGAGGTTTGCTTGTATTTCGTCATCCATGGGGGACCCAGGGAGAAAAGGAAATATTTTCTTGGCTCTCTTCTGGACTTCTTACTTTTTCCTGACTTCTAAATCCCACTTCCCAACACCCTCCCTCAGATGTCTAGATGCTTCAAATACAAGGGAGAAGCTGAATTTGAACCCCCTGCCAGAGGCTTCTCCCTGAGTTTTAAGTTCTGGGCTCCTGTTTAAGACCAACTGTCTTTCATGATGTGTCTGGTCCAGGAATGACCTCAGTTTTTCAGAAAACAACACCTCTCCTGCCCACGAGGACAGGTCTAACATTGCAGGTCTCAAGAGATAAGGCTTAACAAATATAGCATAATACTTAAATGCTCATGCAGGGGAACTGACATACAGTATGAGGGTCATCTGCTTATGAGGTCATGACATCTGGACAGTGTTATCAGACAGTCGATGGGGTTACAGCCAAGTATGTCATACCGCGGGACAGCCAGACAATTCTGCACAGCCTCCTTCATCATTACTACAACCTGGTTCCTTAGACTTAAGTTCCCTTTCTTTGTCCGTATCACTTACTAAATTGTAAGTTTGATGTGGCCATCAGTATCTCATTCACCCTTGTATCCTCAGCCTATCTTACAGCAGGCATTAAATAAATAGTCAGTAAATGAACAAATGACTGCATGAATGGTTCATTAGACCCAAGGGTGAATATGATATTGTCTTTGTATTTCTCTTTAAAAATCCTATTGACTAAACTACAGTATTCCAGCAGTATGAACAAATTAGTCTGTGCAACTGTTGTATCAGGATTTTCTTAGAGTTTCTTTTCTATAAAAATATCTTAGGGGCCCTCCCTTGTGGTGTAGTGGATTAAAGCCAGCACAGCAAGTGAGCCACAGCTTCTTCAGTGCCAGTTCAATCCCCAGCCCCAGAGGTGACCCACATGGCGTTGCAGACCTCTCCTGCCCGTCCGCTGCTCCCCTCAGCAGTGTACTTCGTCCATCTGCCTGTTCTGCTCCCCTGTCTCTGTCTCTGGTGAGCCTGGGTCTTCCCACTGCACCTGCACCTCTGGCCTGCACCCCAGTTCTGTATGTATAAATAAATAAATCTTTAAAAAAAAGTCTTGGGGGAAGCAGACCTCTCCTATCTCGCCCACTGCTCTCCTCAGCAGCACATTTTGTCAATCTGCCTGTTCTGCTCCCCGCTCTATCTCTGGTGAATCCTCTTGCCACCTCCGGCCTGTCCCCCCAGTTCTCTATGCATTAAATAAATAAATCTTTTTTTAAAAGTCTTGAAAAAGCTATAAGAGGTATAGTCTATTAAATCTAGATTTGAGTCCAGCCTATTGAAATCATCAACTTGAAGTTCTAAATCTGGATGACTCAAAAATGGTGTTCTAACATATTCAGCCAAAGAGAGATAAAGGGTGAAAAATTTCAATTGACAATTTATCTATATTCTAGTTGACCTTACCAACCCAGAATTCAATTTATTTATCAAGTTTTCTCGTTTGAAGTTTACTGCATAATTCCCATTTTCTGAATAAATCTTATTTGGCAACCAAGACACTCATTGTCAATCTTAGTATAAATTTAGTGACTTTGAAATCATTGGCACATAGACTAGTCATGAATTCTAATAGAAACAAATGCTATTAAAAGGAGCTAGCTTGGAGTCTGGCAAGGCGGTGGCAGAATGAAGACACTGGGCTCGCCTCCTCCAGACATGCACAATAAAATTGATACAAAACAGTGGTGCTCCTGAGACTTGGCACTACACTGGATAAGGGGGTGCATAAGTGCGAGCTGAGGATGGAGGGTGCATTATGGGAAAACTACGGAAGTGGGGGCACAGAGTGAGGACTGATGGTTTGAACATGAGGCTTATGATACAGAATAGCTGTAGCCTGAATTCGGTCAGAGCACCTGGACTTCCTTACAGAAGACACTACTACTGAAGGCCAGGCTGAGATGTCTGAAACACCTGTCACTCCTCCACCCCAGCCTGAGACATCCAGAATACCTGTCATTCCTGCCCCTGGAGATGGCCTTCTATCCCTCACCAGTACCAGTCCCCTACTCTTCCAACAAGTACAAAAATAAAAGTCAAAAATTCACCCTTACTAAAACCCATGCAGAATCAAAAATGAGGAGACAGAAGGTCATGGCACAAATGCTAAAACAAACAAACAAAAAATCACTGAAATGAGCCCTGACTCTGGAGTTGTGAAGCAGGACAGAAGGGGAATTCAGGGCAACAGTCTTGGCAACAATGATGGAGCTTAAGGAAACAATGGAGGATATGAAAGGACAACAAAAGAAACAATGGAGAGAATTCATTAATGAATGAACTTGAAAACAGTACTGGAGAACACAAGAACAGAACAAGGCACAGGGAAAGGAGCTAAAAATGAAAACAGTGCTAAGAACTCTGTGGGACAACCATACCATGGGGAACCCAGAAAGAGACTAAAATTACAAAGTCATAGAAACCTGTTTAAAGAAATAATCACTATGAACCATTCTGAGAAATGAAGCAGAGGTTGTGATCCAAGAGGCCTAAAGAGTTCCAAACATAGTAATACCAGATAGCCATACACCAAAATACATAATAATAAAGCTGTCAAGAACCAACAAGAAAGAAGTACTAAAAATATTAAGAGAAAAAAGAGCAATCTCTAAGGGAACACTAATCAGACTATTGGCAGAGTTTGCAACAGTAAAATTACAAGCATGAAGAGACTGGGAAGAGATATAGGTAAATATGTACCACAAGCCTAATGTAGAAAAAGACATCATTTAGTGTAAAGATGGTTGTGTAGACTGTAGAGAATTTGGGTCCTTTCTTACCACTCTTTGATTTTGTATGTAATCGTAGGTAAGTTTCAACACTTTTCAGGGGTGCCAGTTTTTCCATGTTATAAACCAGAAGAGTTTTTGTTTTTGTTTTTAATTTTCCACAAGAATACCCAGTTATAGTGGTTCTTATACCTTTGGTTGATTCAAAGAGAGAGTGGATGCATGTGCAGAGTGAGCTAGAGCTCATGGCCATTATGCAGAGAGGGTCACTTATGACAAGATGGATCCCATGTAAAGCAACATTGTAAGGGATTAGAGATTTAAGTGGGGCCTGGTAGGTTCAGAGAGGCCAGAGAGAAGGGAATGGAAGCAGGATGGTAATGTGTACAGACAACCGATCCCTTTTCCTGGGCTATATACAGTCTCTGGCTTTAGCACCTCCTGTGAAACTTCCATACTACCCAATGCCTTGTCACCTTGTAACAAGTTTCCTTTTCACATGCATGAAATCTTGAGCTAATTTTACTAAATTCTTAGTTCCTTGAAACCCGAAAGAGTGCCTAGAGCAGGAACTGAACTCTATGATTCTATGAAGTTCTATGTGATTATATGGTACAAACTCTGTGCTTGACACAGAAAGAATATAGTGCAATATATTTTCACCAAAGCCAATAGTCTATTAAAACCCCAACCCAAACAAATACTCACCCTTCATCTATTAGTGGCTGTGGAGATGACTGAGGTACCAGTGCTCCAGGCTTCTTGGTTTAGGTAGGGTGTAGGGCTTATTCATTATAGGTACGCAATGTTCTCTTTCTGCACAACACGGGCGCTGAACATCGAAAGAACACACCTGTGTCCGAAAGGTTGTTTAAAATTTAGAACTTAGATGATTTGAGGAGTCCTTGGGTTCCCAGGGCACCCTCCACCCCAGCCCCACGTGACTCAACCTTTGATCAAGTGGCATCACGGTGCTGACAACACTGACATTTCAGGAGAACTGAACAAGCAGTTAAGATTTTGCTGTCACCATGCACTTTTACACCAAGATGGAGCACTGCCTTCTCAGGAAATGTTTCTTGATAACCCCTGTCCTAAATAAAGCTGACTCCTCGTCTATGGCCCTCCCGTCCCTGCCACCACCTAGTCCTGTCCATCTTTCTTTCATAGCATCTACATTATTTTGCAAAACCTGCGTTCACATGCATCTCAGTCAATTCTTACCTGAATGCAAAACCCTCCTTGCAGGTGGGACGGGTCCCTGTTCCTTATCACTCACATGCTGAACACAGGACCCACTTGAGATACTTTTGTTCAAAGGGCGTGTGCTGAATCCAGCTACCGTCGATGCTCAGGCCTGCCTGGGAGTCTCTAATGCTCAGCACACCACTGTACCTCTGCGCCTACAACGAGAGCCCAGGCTGGGTTACTGATCTTGATGTAGAATCCAGAAGATTCCAGAGATTTCTCTGTTGAAAGATAGGGATGGTGAGGGCGGGAGCAAGGGGGTGGGAGGTGCGGAAGAAGAGCCAGCAGCTTCCGGGCCTGTCCCCACATTGGGTTTTATGGAGGGGAATGTGTGCTGGACCTTGACTCTCGGGCTACACAGTTCTGAGTCTTTCCCATGCCGCCCTCCGCAGGGAAGGACTAGGTGCTGAACAAACTAAGAAGCAAAACCAGAAGACTTTCCCGTGGACAGATAGAGCTTAATCTCTGACTATCTGCTCATTGAGGAGAGTAATAATTTTGAAAAATACAAAAATCTTGTGTGTTTGGCCTTAGAATTCATGAAATAACTATCAGCGTCTCAGGTGCTAGTTTTGATCTGCCACTCACGGGTTCTGAGACCACGCGGCATCTCAAGCAGAAAAATGGATCATTTGGACTACTGATTCCAAGGCTGTATCTCCGCAGCCAAGTTACCTTCCCTTTTCTTCTGACTACTTTGCTACCTCATGGAATTTTAGAGCGAGCAAAGATCTTAAAAAGCATAAAGCCAAGCTTCCTCATTTTACAGTTGAAAAAATCTATGAGGTCCCAGGAGGGAAAGACATGAGCTTAAGGTCATATAGCTCATGAGGAGTTGTGTCAAAACCAGAGGCAGGGTCGTGGGCCCTCGGCTCGGCACAGTTCCACCTCATCTCCCTGGGCCCGGGAGCCGACGCCCGTGGAGGGTCAGGGGTGGGTGCGTCACAAGTTGGAAGGAAGTAATTTTGACTTTTAAAATTAGCTGTGGATAAGTCACACATGGATAATCAGGAGCTGACTGCAGCCTGGGCCCTGGCTGAGCTTTAAGTCAATATTATAAGCCTGAATATTTATGGGTGTTTTGGTTTGTTTCCAAAAATGTTTGAAAGCGCCCTTCTTCCTCCCGTCACACAAATGAAAAACACCAAAAAGGCAGGATTTACAATGCTTTCCCAGCCTGGCGCATTTTGATGTCTATGTGGCTGGACTGAAATCTGAACGAAAACACAGAGAGAAAAGGGCACGCTAGTTTGCAGTGTTTTAAGGAGGAGGGGGTGGTTAGGGAATTCGGAGTTTGCAGAGCACAAGGTGCTGCTTGTCTGAATGATTAACCATGAAATTTGAAAAGCATTATGGGGTATTTTTCAGGAATATGTTTGAGCTCTTCAGAGAAAAGTGATAATGCTAGGTCCTCTCTTGTGCAAAGCTGTGCCTTCCTGTTCTGGCTAACACACTCCATGGCTACTGGAAACCTGACCTCCTTCCTTTCTCTGCATGTGTAGTAGGACTTTAAGGCACTTTTCTCAGCCCTACAGGTGATATTTAGGAGCAGGTAGTATGTGGCCGGCACTCTGCTAACCCTACCCAGGGCTCACTTGGTGAAGTCTCACAATCATCCTCTGAGGACGGAGTTACGGTTATTTCCTTTTCTGTCATATGGAGGCTGAGGCACAGAGTGGTTAGGAACTTGCTCAAGGTGCCACAGAGCCAGGAAATGAAGCAGGTAGGTCTGACTCCAGAACACCCCCACACACACACACACACACCTAAATTATATTGAAAATGAATAGCAATTTTCCAAAGTAGCAACAAAAACTCCAGCCCACAAGCAATTCTCCAATGGGACCTCATCCCGCATCAAAAGGTAGAGGCAAATGCCCCTCCCCTTGAGGGCGGGCCGCTTAGTGACCAGCTGTCAACCCCAGAGAGAAGTAGAGATGATGATATGTAACTTCTGAGTAGGTCAGAGAAAGCCAGGCAGCTTCACCTTCGCGTCTGGGAAAGCTTGCTCTGGGCACTCTTTGGGGATGTTCCTTCTGGAAAGTCAGCCTTTGTGCTTTGAAAAGCCCAGGCCACGTGGAGAGGCTGTGTGCAGGCTGCCTGTCGACAGTCCCAGCTGAGCCCAGCCTGCCCGTCCTCCTAGTCCAGGTGCCAGATATGTAGTGAAGAAGCTTCCAGACAATCCCAGCCTTCCTGCTGTTCAAGTCTTCCCAGCTGCAGCAGAGACATGCCACCCCTGCTGTGCCCTGTCTGAATTTCTGACCACAGCCTCCCTGAACATATAAAATGGTTGTTCTTTACATCACGAAGTCTGGAGAGCTTGGCCTTGCAGCCAGAGGTGACTCAAGTAACTCCTCTGCTATTCTCCCTCGGATCTTTCAGGACAACTCCCTCCTCATTGGGAAGAATCCCCCACGGTAATGTCCTGGCAAGCCCTCCCTCTTCTTCTTGCCATTCTCTCAAGACACAGAATGGTCTAGGTGAGAAAAGAAAATTCTGGGAGTGTTAGCTACACTCCCCGCTGCCCAGGTATTTCCTGGCTGACAGGTCAGCCTTCCAAGTTATCAGATGGCCTTCTGCTCATACACCTGTCTTTGCCAGAACCCACGAATGAGCCAGGCAGGCCAACGATGGGGACTCTGGTCCCTCACCCACCTAGTAGGCAATTCTGGATAGGAGGTTGCCCTCTCCTGCCCTGCCTGTTGCCGGCTCTGGAACAAAGCCGTCGAGAATGGCTTGAAAAAATCAAAGCAGTCTGAAGGGAGACCACTCAGACACGGGAGCTGGACCACCATTGGAAGCATCCAGAAATTTCTCAGAATGGCCGAGCTTGTCACATCTCCCAACCTGGCTCCCTGAGCTTCCCCTGTCAGGGACCAGCGCCCCACAAGGAAACCTGAGGCTGGACTCCAAGTCAGGAAGGTGGCTCCCTGTTTGGGGAGGGCTGACACAGGGAGGGGCTCAAGTGGTGGACTTTGAGGGACAGAGATCAGACTCCGTTTCTCAGTCTGGGTGCTAACCTCAATGTCTTCGTTCTGTGACCACTTGACTCAGCCAGCTGTACGTGTATGGCTTATGCACCTCTGTGTGTGTCTTACACATGGATACAAAGGAAGGAAATCCAGACCAGTAGTTCAGCGGCAGGGGTCAGACCTGAATGAGGATCCCTGGAAGCAGCCCCAGAGGGAAGAGCCTCCACAGTGACAGCTGGCGTGGTGGCACCGGCTGCAAACTCCTTTAGAAAAAAAGCTTTGATGTTTGTGTTACCAGTACCCACGTAGAGCCTGGCATCCAAAGGGCGTGAGATGACTGCTCGCTGACTCACCACCTTTTCCCTCTCCTTCCTTCCTGGTCCTTCCCCCACCGCCAACAGAAAGTCTATTCAGGAAGTTCTTGGCTAACAGTAGTCCACTCCAGCAAGACCTACCCTGCTCCTTGTTGTGGCTGATACCTGAGAGGATGCAGGCCAGGTGAGATAAAGAAGAATAAAGACCCTAAGTTTCCCTGAGGGAACTTTACAGAGATCCATGCTGGCCGCCCTTCACCAACCGGCCACAGAGCTGTGAGGAGCACCCTACAGTGGTGTGACACTACGCTGGGTGCTTTACACGCAAGAACTCATTTCATCATGATGACCACTCTGTGAAGTTGGGAAGCTGCTTTTAATCCTTCTTTGCAGGCTGCTCAGCCCAGGCACAGAGAGGTCAAGTACCTTGCCCAGAATCACACAGCTAGTCAGTGGTAAAACCTGGATTAAATGCAGCCGTCTGGCTCCAGGGTCTGCAATCTCATGGCCTATAGAATCCTGCCATTACATAGACGACGATAACATAGTCTTGGCAGACATTTCCAAAAGATGTGTTTGGTAAATGCCAAATAACTGAACAGAGGGGAGTTTATTCTACAACATAAAAAGAACTAGTGCTGGAGCTGGTGGGATTTATTCTCAGCAATTGGGGGCAAAGGTGGGGAGAGGCCAAGAAGGGGGTGGTTGGCTGGGCCTCCCAGCCTAGAAAATAAGTGCTCTTTGGATCAGAGAAAACAAAATCCTACTCATAGAAGAAAGATCCCTTGCTATTCCCCCACCCCCCTCAGGATCTGAACAGATAATCAGAGCGTGCAGACATTCAGCAGTAATCAATTAGTACCTACTTTAGATTAAATTGAGAATATGTAAATCGGGCGCCTCATCAAGGCTGCACAGAGCCAGTGATTTGAGACGCAGGCATCCAACGACGTGCTGCAAACATACTGAGTCTGTGACACAGAAGGGCATGCAAATCTTGTCACAGTCTAAACATTTCGTAGACTGGGAACCCTGCTGTGTGCTACACAAATGCTTACACATGCACACACATGCACTCCCACACATATGCACATGGGTACGTGTGCATGCATGCACACATACACACTTGCACACAGAGATATTTGCACACACACATTCTCCTTATCCACCCTTCTGCATCTTTGCAGAGGGACCTAATTTCTTATATCATTCGGGAAGGGCCTCAGTGTCAAAACCCAGTGCCAAGATCTCACACACACACACATACACAGCAAAAACATCCTTGAGCTTGATCTGTAACTCCACATCTAGAAGCGAGTCCCAGTTTTGGTGTTTGGTGGTAGTTTTAGTGTTTAGAATAATCTAAACAAAATCAATGGCTAACTAAGGAGTCCGGGGCTTCCTGGATTCCTTTTCAAATTCTCAGACAGGGAAATGAAAGAAGGGGCCCCTGTCAACTCTCCAACAGTATTTCTGAAAATAGGCTTCACAGGCAACTTAAGGGACAGACCTATTCTAGCAACAAACAGTAATGTGTCAACACAAGTGTGGGGTGCAGGAAGGGCCCAGGCAATAAGAGGGCCTGACGAGAGGCTTCCTACGGCAGGCTCTACGCCAGTCTCGCTGGAGGGTCCTTGATGGCACAGAGGAAGGTATCTAGGTATCAGATACCCTAGATCCCCTAGGTATCTGGGCAAAGGGCCAGGGGAGATTACAGCCAGCAGGGAAAGGGGATTTCCAGGTTGAGGACCTCAAAACTTTCCTTGGTGAGACATGGAAGACTGGGGTTTTCCATGGAATTCTCTCAAAGGGCATGTCATGACCAACAGTGATGCTGCCTGCCAGCCACAGAGTGTGGTGTTGAGCCTG